AAAAAAATAATAAAAAAAAAATTAATAATTCGAGTGAAAAGAATAAGCGCACCTAAATGAATAAAGCTTTAATAAAAGGTCCATTCTTTGTCTTGATGATTAGTACTAGATTTGTGTGCTAATTTGAGACTGGATGTGATCATTTCTTTAGTTGGTTTAGATAGCAACATATTTGATGCCGGTTCACTTAAAAAGAATTCAAGAGTTGTTTTGATTTGCATGATCATTGTCTTGATGTGTGGAGGACCATACTTGTTTACTTGATATTGAAATTTTGGGAGATTGCTTGAAAATGGTTGAAAAATTACATACTTAAGGTAGTTTTCTCCCAATGTTTGTTTGGAATATTGGTGCCTCTTTAGTAAGAAAGAGCTTTATGTTTGTGGGTATCATTTCTGAAAATCCTCACGAGACTTCACTCGTCCACTAGGGGCAACCTAGGGGTTTAAAAAGCTTGTTGCATGTGTTAAATGCAATCGTGTTCCCTACGAAAGTGGTGTTATCCATTTATTACTTCCTAGTTCATAATTATATAGTTGTTTATTTCTTTATTTTCTTCGTAGTTTATTGCTAGGAACTAGCAATATTTAAGTTTGGGGGTGTGATAAGCGCTAAAAAGTATGCATTTAAACCCCTTAAACTTGAATGTTCTTGGACCTTATTCTATCTTATTTTTCTGTTTTAGTCTAATTTCATGTTATTTTCTTTTTCATGCACTTATCCCCAAAATAAGTCAATTCAGTTGAATTAGAGCATTAAAAGAAACAATCTCAAGCTTAGTGGAAGAAAGGAGCAAATTGGAAGCAAAGTGGTGAAGAAGTTTTCTCCAATCGATCGAACCAAGCTCCGATCGATCACACTATAATCGTTCCAACAATGCGATGATGGATTAAGCCTTTTGTCCTTATCTTTTGGAAAATTTCCTATTCAATCGATCTAACCATTCCTTCGATCGATCGAACCCTTTTGATCTTATCCTCACCAACCACTTTTGTTCATTTCTCAAAAATATCTCAACCTTGTCATTATCTTAAAAGTGCGCCACCATGGTTCAATCGATTCGAGCAACCTTGTGATTAATCGAACTGCCTCAAGTTGCGTGAAAAACAGAGTTCTAGCCAAATTAAAGATGTGCTCGTGGTGTAATCATTTGGAGGTCCTAGTGCACGAGGTCTGACCATTGAGTGTGACATTTGAGCTACCTATATAAGGATTTTGGATATTTTTAGTAAAGATGTTGAATTAGGTTTTAGCAAGAGGCTAGAGATTAGAGAGTGAAACACACAATTTGGGAAAGTTCTTCCACTCATCTAGGATTTCTACCAAGAACACAAGAAGAGGATGATGGATTCTACGATGGAGATAGCCCTTGAGGGTTGGATAACAACATCAATGAGTGGCTAAACCATTCTCTTGGGGCTAGAGATAGCTCTAAGCATGCCTCCTAGACTTTGATGTTTTATAATTAATAAGGATTTGTGTTGTATTTCTTGTCTTGACATCTTATATATATAAATCTTACTTCTACAATGATTTGGGTAGTTTAATACTTCCAATTGATCATTTAATTCTATCAATATGTCTATGTATACTAGAATGGATGTTCATGTGTTTATCTCTAGATTTTGTGACATTGATGCATGTCTATGTGTGTTGATTTTATGAATCTAGTGATGGTTGTTGTGAAATTTATATGTACCACTCGCAAGTGGACCAATCTTTGCAGATAGGGTTTACTTGTAAGGGTGTCGTACTCAAGGGACTTGTGTAAAATAAGTTTGTCAACAGATTTCTCAAATTCCAAAATTAACTTGAAAGTAGGATAATCGAATTGTGATGATTAATTCTAAATTAACTAAATAGAAAAATAAAATAAACTAAAGAACGATGATCAAATATGATGTAGAAAATAGAGAGAGAGGACTAGGGTATTATTTCACCACTAACGTCGCACCACCAGTTAATTATATCAATTTATTAGAGATATTTCATATAACATGCATAGGGAATTAATCATGGTTAAAAGTTCATATTAATTCAGCTAGAAAATAATATAATTTAAAACTAAGCCTAGACTATCTTCGATTGGTATAAACCATCTACCTATCTACTTTACTCTAGGGTGTAGCATGGTTTATCTTTTCTAGGCATAATCCATCAAATCTCTAACATTATATTCAGAGAAATACCATTATGTAATCATCTCATTCACAACCACAAGAAGTGAATGAGTTGTGTTCAATCATAAGATTTAAAATATCTAAGACAAGATAAAAAAAATATTTGTAATTGAATTAAAACTTTAAAATTGATTCTTATTGAAAATTCAATTAAAAACCCTATAGATTACACAATTATGCATGATAAAAATTATTCTCCAATAATTAAATACAATCAAACTAGTGTGCTAAGTTAAGGCTACATCAAAACCCTAGTAAAGCGTTTAGCCAAGCATGACTGGGGTGGAATTCTTCATGGTTGAGAAAGACATCTTCACCGTCATGGATCGATCTCTTCTTTCTTCTGAATGCTTCTCCTCTAATCTCAGCCTCAAACTCTTCTGTATGATCCTTCAATGTTGTAGAGGTCCCCCTTTTAAATAATAAAATATCAGCACTAAAGTTCCATTTTTCATATAGGAGACATACATAGAAATTCTGTCAAGTAAGGACTCTAAAATTCGTGCAGACTTCTAAGCTAATTTTGACAAGGTAAACAACTATTTTAAGGAATCCTCGTGAAATACAAAATTGTAGATTCAAATTTTCTTTCAACTTACGCGCGAATTTAGCCATTTTGACACTCGAGGAGAGAGATACAGCCAAATTACCAAAACAGGTTCAAGTTACCAACTTCGGCGAAAGTTTCCTTTTTGGCGAAGGAGTTTTCCTTTTCTTCTTCTTTCCATTCTCATCAACTTGTGGCTTCTTTTGGACTAATTTCTAATTATAATTAGACTTTTATCTTCAATATCGCTCGATCTCATGGAATGTTATCTTTTAAAACTCAGAATTACTAATGTTGACTGATTTTATAATTAAAGCCCTGAAATAAGAAAAAACAATAAAATAATGTAAAATCATAAATAAACTATTATTAAGAGAATAAAACATATAAATAAAGGGGCTAAAATGTATAAAATTTAACGCCTAACAATGGTCAAGGCGTGGTGCTTAAATAGGTTACTCTTGTAGTTTATTTGATGGTTCATACTTATTTCTTGATGGATTGTGTCACCTCCTTAGTTTAATTAGTTTAATTTTCATGTCACTAATTTAATTATAGTGTAATTGCCTTAGTTTCTCCTGAAATTGTTCTTGTTGGGACTCCGTGTTAATGAATAAATAAAAAAAAATACCATTTTGTTGCACCGGATGCACAAGTCCGGATTCCCGTTCAGGATAATTTGAAATATCTAATGTTACTCAGTGCTAATGTGTCAAAAAGATACCATTTTGATACACAAGATCGGATTTCGTTTAGGATAGTGTGAAGTATATAATGCTACTTTGTGTTAATACATAGAAAAGATACCATTTTGGTGCACCCGATGCACAAATCCTTATTCCCATCTAGAATTAAATATCTAATGTTAACGGCGTGCTAAAGCATAAAAAGGATGCCATGTTGGTGCGCAAGATACACAAGTCCGGATTCCCGTCCAGGATAGTGTGAAATATCTAAAGTTACACCATGCTGACGTATCAAAAAGATACCCGTGCACAGGATGCACAAGTCTGGATTCCAGTTCAGAATAATCTGAAATATCTAGTGTTTCTCTGGGCTAACACATCAAAAAGGTACATTTTGGTGCATAGGATGCACAATTCCAGATTTCCATCCTGGATAGATTGAATTATCTAATGTTACGTCATGCCAACGCATGAACAAGATACCATTTCGGTGCACATGATGCACAAGATTGGATTCTGTTGAGAATAGTCTGAAATATCAAATGTTACTCCATGCTAATGCATGAAAAAAATACCATGTGATGCACAAGTCCGGATTCTCAATCTGAAATATCTAATCTTATTCGCGCATAAAAAAAAGAAACCATTTTAGTACACACGGGCACAAATAGTTTGAAAAATCTAATATTGCTCCGTTGTAACGCATCAACCAGATACCATTTTGGTATACAGATGCACAAGTACGAATTCTAGTCCAGAATAGTGTAAAAAGGCATCTAATAGATATTCCTACTATTTTTGTGCATAAGGTGCACAAGTCTCCATTCTCGCCCAAAAGAGTTTAAAATATCCGATTTTACTCCGCGTTAATACATCTAATATCTGAAATATCTAATATCTGAAATATCTAATGTTTATTTCTACCGGAAAATTACATATAAATGGAGTCAAAGTTTCATATTTACTTAGAGGCTGAGTCAAAATTTCATATTTCTTTAAAATGGATTGCTGAGGTGGCACATGATTTTTTACTATTTAGAAATTGTGGTGCCTAAAATACCCTTCCACGAAGGTATCACTTTTTCTTCGAAGGTACTACTTTTTTGAATTGAAGGTATTACTTTTTGGCATCCAGGTACCATATTTTTTAAACACCCACGAAGGTACTACTTTTTCTCCAAATGTACTATTTTTTTGAACTGAAGGTACTACTTTTTTGAACTGAAGGTACTACTTTTTTGTTAGGGAAGGACATTTTAGGCACCACAAATTTCTAAACAGTAAAAAATCATGTGCCACCTCAACAATCTATTTTAGAGAAATATGAAACTTTGACTCAATCTCTAAGTAAATATGAAACTTTGACTCCATTTATATGTAATTTTTCCTTACTTAAACGCCGTGACCGTGTCGTCAGCAACACCTTTTTTTTTTTTTTTTCTGACAATGAAGTCGTCAGCAACACTTCACCATTCACCAACCATAAGTGGAACCCACTCGCTGCATGATCAACAGCATCTTTTTCTGTTCTAAAATACGCACGCAAAAGTTGGTGAGATTGTGAGATCGATGCAAAAGTCACCGTCTCACCAACCTCACTCCCTTTCCCAAAAAATTGTATTTTCTCTCTCTAACATTCACCAACCACCCCCTCTCACTGTGTTTTTCTGTTCTAAAATATCTAGAAGACGTTCATTTCAGATGTGTGTTCCTTCTACATGTCCCCTAAAAAAAATACTATAAGTATTCAGTTCACACTATATTTCTATGAAGTAAAAGGTGTACTATTTTTGTTCATTCAATTTCTCACATTTTGAGAAGAAAAAAAAAACATTAAATTTCCAACATTAACTTAGCAGGATCGCCTGAGGAAAACATTCATTTCGCAGGTATTTTCTTTTTATCACTCCTTCGGTTGAATATGAGATGGGTTTATTTTATTTATTTTTTCAAAATCATTTTCCCAAGAAGATTTCGACAAGTTGGACAAACCCATTAATTTCCCAAACTGCAGGTGAGCCCCTCCCAAAGGTGACACACCGCCGGCGCACGTTAGCCAGATTGAGCGCAGGTTAGCAGGGCGGCGGGCGCAGAGGATGAAGATCAATGTGAGGGAGTCGGCGATGGTGCGTCCGGCTGAGGATACGCCGAGGCGGAGGCTGTGGAACTCGAACGTGGATCTGGTGGTGCCCAACTTCCACACCCCGAGCGTCTATTTCTACCGGCCCACAGGTTCACGTAGATTCTTCGATGCTGGAGTGCTAAAATACGCCCTGAGCCGAGTTCTGGTCCCGTTTTACCCCATGGCTGGGAGGCTGACGAGGGACGACGATGGCAGGATAGCGATTGACTGCAATGGCGATGGTGTCCTCTTCGTCGAGGCTGAGATGAACTCCGATGTGGATGATTTTGGCGACTTCACACCCACTTTGGAATTCCGGCAGCTCATTCCGGCTATAGATTACTCCGGTGGGATTGAATCCTATCCTCTCCTGGTCTTGCAGGTACATTTTTGTTTTGGTACATTACTATTAGTATATTGAGCAATGCTACGTCCATTGGTTTTCTACCAGCCCAAAATAAATATTCTAATATACTCTATATTGTTATACTAGTATTCAGGAGTCAATTAAGGCTAAGAGGGGCAAGTGTCTCATACCCTTTGCTAATATTTTTGATATATATACTAATTTTAAATAGTGTCCTCCTAAAATTTTTAAATTTTTTATTTTTATTTTTTCTTTTCTAATTTAAAAAAAAAATTACATATATCTCTATTCTTCAACTACATCATATATTTTTTCTTTTCTAATTTTTGTTTTCTTTTTAAAATTTTTTTCTTCTCCACTCGTGTATAATTATGTATTGTATCATTTTTTTCATCTTCTTTCTTTTTATTGATGACAATTATGATTATATTTAATTAAAATATGATTAATTAATATTTTGATTCTTATATTTGTCGTATATACTTTTTTTAAAAGTACTTATTTAGCATATTATTTTACTAATTATGATGTTTTTTTTCTTGTTTGCCTTTTATTTAAAAAAATTATATTTGTCATACTTGTCGATTTTATATTATTATTATTATATATATAATTTTAATAAGTGCATTGTCGTCCCCTTGAAATAAAATTCTGACCCAGCCCCAGATAGTATTATGAAAGATTTGATTTATTTGTTTACAATTGTTAAAGTATTGATTGTTATAATTTGAACGGTACAAACCTCTTTTGAAGTTATATGAGCTTTGAATGTGTCTTTTAATTTTTAACATAAATCAATTGTGATACCTAATTTTGTTTAAATATTAGTCATAGTGAAAATCCAAAATTTTGAAAAGTATAACTTTAAGAAATAGACATAAAATTGATATAAGAGCAGAATATAGAAACAAAAGATAAGTTACAATTAAAAAGAGAATTAATTTTCCTTCATCAATTGTGTTAATTTTTCAAAAATTTAACTTTTGAAAAAATTTTATTACTTTGATTCTACTTGGGAAATATATAGGGACTAGAGCAAAAAACACTCCTAAAATATAATCCGTGTAACACTTTTACCCCATTTGAAAAAGTGTGCAAAAAAATTTCTAACCTTTTCACATTGTGTAAAACTACTCCTCAGTCAGAAATCTGACATAAATTAGTGCTATAATACCTGTTTTACTTTTTTACTCTTCCGAAAATGATCAAGGGGAAATATGTGCCACTAATTGCATAGTATAGGGGTGTTATGTGCACATTACCTTATTATTATTATTTTTTGAAACTTTTTCTTTATATATATCTCTAATATTTTTTTTTTATTTTTTTTTTTTTAAACTTTGAGAATTTGTAGAAGAAGGATTTGAATTTTTTGGGATTTTAGTTTTACTGTTTTCTACTATTTTTTTTTCTTTATTTTATTTATTTTTTGCACCAATGCTCTTAAACAAGAAAAAAAGAGGAAAAAAAATCACAATATCAGTGTGCGATATTTTCCCGAGTTTGAAACATATTTGTTTTCTTTAATTTATACTTTATTTTCGTTTTTTATTTTTAATTTTTATCTTTACTTTTCTTTTATACTTTTATTTGTATATTTACTTGTCCATTGCCGGCATACTCTAATAGTGTCTTTTTCGGTTATTCTAGAAAATTTTTTATTTTATATATTTTATAAATGGTTTCAATAAGGGTAATTTAGTCAACTTAGGGTTTAAATTTGTCAGAGGGACCTATTTGCACCAAATTAAAACTTTAAGGGTGTTTTTTGCACATGAGGGGTGTCCTCCAATAGTGTCATTTTCGGTCATTTTATAAAATTATTTATTTTTATATATTTTATAAAAAAAACTTTAAGAATGTATTTTTGCACATGAGGGACGTCCTCCAATAGTGTTCTTTTCGATTATTTTATAAAATTATTTATTTTTATATATTTTATAAAATGGTTCAGTAAGAATAATTTAATTAACTTAGGGTTTAAATTTGTTAGAGGGTTTTTTTTGTACCAAATTGAAACTTTAGAGGTGTTTTTTGCACATGAGGGTGTGATATGCATTATAAGCATACTTTAGAGGTGTTTTATGCACTTGACCCAAATATATACCTAGATGACAAGTTTAAAAGAAAAAAATTTGATTTTTAACAAACCAAACTCTTTCAAATTTAAATTAAATAAGATTATTATTTTAGTAACTTATACAAATAGTTATAGAAATATGTCATTTATCAAGCTAGTGACAATTAAAAAGAGAATCAATTCTCCTTGTCAATTATTTCAGTTTTTCAAAAATCTAATTTTTGAAAGGAAAAAAAATTGAATACTTTGATTCTACCTTGGAAAGATATATATACCATATGAAAGATTTGAAGAAAAAAAATATATGTTCTTTAACTAACCAAAAACTCTCTAGTTTTAAATTCGATCAACAAAATTATTATTTTAGTAACTTATACAAATAATTATAGAAAATTTCATTTAATCAATGGCAATTAAAAGTATTAACATATATGATATTATTGTTGTTATAGACAATGTCACAATACTTTTAGTTTATCTTTCTTCCCAATATTCCTAGGGCTCGCCAATAAAGATTGGCAAAAATTATTCATGCATTTTTATTAAACATGAGAGAACATTAGTTATTTTTCTTCTATTTTCTCTCTTGAATTAATATTTTAGATATTGTACATGCATGTGTATATGTAAATAAAATAATAATTTGTTGGGGTAATGACTATAATAATAATGAATTTAGATTTTTGTTTCACAATATTTGAGCTTTTATAGGTAAATGGTCTAAATTTAAAATTTCTTAAATTTGAGGGAGATATAAACTAAATTTATTTTCAAATACTCTATTTTGGGGACAATTTTCAAACACTCTATTTTGGATCAATAATATAATATAAGTGTTTTGAAAAAAAATTTGGTGGAGTGGGATTGAAATTTTAAAAGAATTTTAGGGACAATATTTACTAATTAATAATTATTTAGGGGTTATTAATAAATAATAATAATAATAATAATAAAAAGTTTATAAAATTTTGGGGTGGTACTGGTGGCGGCTATGTTGTGTTAAAGTTTTATATTTCTAACAATACTAACATGTGTACGTATGCAAGTACATATATAGGCACACACACGTGTGTGTGTGTATATATGTGTGTGTGTGTGTGTGGGTGTTGTGAGTTCTAATATTATATACAAAGAGATGTAGAGAGAGAGAGAGAGAGAGAGAGAGAGGAACGAGAAAGAGATAGAAGAGAGGGAGAGAGAAGAGGGAGGTGAAAGAGAGGACACAGAGATGTAGAGAGAGACGAAATACTTATTGCATTACTCTCTGCATTTTTTTAGGCAAGTATCACAAACTCTAATTTAGTACTAGTGGTTTTTCAATGATAATTTTTCTTACTATGGGTTCAATATGTCTCAAAACAAAGAGGATTGTTACAATTATAAGATGTTTTTTTCGTACTGCAATCATGAAATCATATGTCGTTGCTACTACTGACTAAAGGGCTGTTTCGCTATGAAATTGTTAAAAGCAAACTTCTCAACAAGATCACTCTGATTATTTTGACTAAGATGGGTAATTAGTTTCCACAAGTTGAAACTTGGGTTGGATGACTTGATTGTGCCCGGGGTTGAGTATTTTCAGGAACCGCGTTTGTTAGTGTTTGTGGTAAATTCAGTTAAGTAGAGTTTTTCTTTCCATCAGATGCTCATGTGTTTCTACTTTTAGTTGATACCACATATTTCAGTTTGGCTTATAAAACTTGCAGTTGATCCAACACTTGAGCCTACTCAATATTATGAGCTAATTGGATATTTGGTTTTGCTTCTGAACAGGTCACACATTTCACATGTGGTGGAGTTTCGCTCGGTGTTGGTATGCAACATCATGTGGCAGACGGAGCTTCTGGTCTCCACTTTATCAACACATGGTCTGACATGGCTCGTGGTCTAGAGCTTACCATTCCGCCATTCATTGACCGGACCCTCCTCTGTGCCCACGACAAGCCTCAGCCTGCATTCCACCACATCGAATACCAGCCCCCTCCTGCTATGAAAGCTTCTCTCCAAACAACTGATTCCGAGTCGGTTCCTGAGGCAACTGTTTCCCTTTTCAAGTTAACCCGGGACCAAGTTAACATTCTCAAAGCCAAGTCAAAGGAAAATGGGAATATGGTTAGTTATAGCTCATATGAAATGCTAGCAGGGCATGTATGGCGTTGTGCGTGCAAAGCACGTGGACTCTCGGATGATCAAGATACCAAGCTGTACATTGCCACAGATGGACGGTCCAGGCTCCAACCTCCACTCCCACCTGGCTACTTTGGCAATGGGATTTTCACGGCCACTCCAATTGCAGTAGCCGGTGATCTTCAATCAAAGCCACTTTGGTATGCCGCCAGTCGAATTCATGATGCATTAGTGCGGATGGACAACAATTATTTAAGGTCAGCTCTTGATTACTTAGAATTGCAGCCTGATCTAAAGGCCCTCGTCCGTGGTGCCCATACTTTTAGGTGTCCGAATCTCGGGATAACCAGTTGGGCTAGGCTGCCTATCCATGATGCAGATTTCGGTTGGGGCAGGCCAATTTTCATGGGACCTGGTGGGATTGCATATGAAGGATTAGCATTTATTTTACCAAGTCCCACCAGTGATGGGAGCTTATCTGTTGCAATATCGCTGCAAACAGAACATATGAAACTCTTCGAGGGATTCTTGTATGATTTTTAAAGATATGAGCCGGCTGACAAATTGGTGCTGGATATATCTGCTACCTGGTCTGTTCAGAGATGGGTGATTGTGATAATTTCCTAGTGTTTTTCAACATGTTTATGTTTATGAAGATGCTAAGGTACGCATTGACATGTCATCTTATATCTTAACCACATAGGCACATGCTTTGTGGGTGTAAGGAACATGAGAACATTGTAACACAAATCCGAAATTGTATTTACAATACAAGTAATGTTGTCGAATCTTGTGGTGTTGGGTAACTCAAGATTTATTTGTGTGTAATTAGTTTTGATGGCATGTAATGAAGGTATGTTTTGGCATGCATCTGTTTGATGGAAGTTTTGATATTACAGGGAAGGGCTCAAGTCATTTTTTATGTCATTTTTGCATGTCAAATCTATATTTTGAGAGGGGTTATAGTGTTAAAATGCTATATTTTAGCAATTCTGTTCCAACGGTGCATTTCATCCAAAATACTATGTTTTTTACGCAACAACCATTCTTTTTCAACTACCATTCCCAACTACCAATTTTCAACAACCAACGTTTTTTTTTTTTTTTTTTGAGTGTTTGTATTTTATTTAAGCTTATTTGCCTCATTAAAAATAAATAAAATATAAATGATATATTTGATTATATTATTAGTAACTCTAAACCAAAAAACAAAATATTTTTAGGGCAAATCATTTTAGCTGAACTTGCCCTCTGAACCTGCCCTCTTAGCCTCCCCAGTCACCTCCATCTCTATTCTTATTCTCGACTCTGAACTTGCCCTAATAATGTACATGTGGTAGACATATGAAAAGATTAATAAATCATATTCATTTTTTCATGCAACTTTTAAAAAATTTTGATCGTTTCGGTTATTGTAGTGTGATGTACTTGGGTATATTCATGTGATATTTTTTTTATCTTTCAAAAAATATATATATATACATTTAAATTATATATATTTAGTTGGATGATGCATATTTTATATGGATAGTACTGAAAAAAAGAAAAAATAATATAAATCTTATATAAATACGGAGTAACTTTTTTATTTTAAGCCACTTTTATGGATAAGTTTACATTTCACAATTTTTGTAAGCTCTTCTACGGTGAGTTAATGATTAATGATTATGATATGACACTAATAATTAATTATGTGCCTATGTATCTCTCATATTTGATTTCCAAAAATTATAATTGTCTCCTTCGAATAAAGAACCACATTGATTAGATCCACTCTCTTTCAAAACATAAGACATGATGAAAGAATTTTTGAAAATAAACAAAACTTTCCACTAGGATCAACTCAATATATAGGGATTGACTTTGATACCAATTGTGAGTTGTACAGCGGAATAGGTTGTGGAAAGTTTGAGTTTTAAAAACTGGTTTAAGAAAGGAATAATTACATGTTTCTTTATCCAATCTACTAAACTATATTACCGTTAATTAAACAATCGTACGCAAAATAAAAGCAGGTAAAGTTTAGAGTGACATCGGATTTTAGCGAATAAACCAATTGAAAAACCTCGAGGTTTTGTGCGTTATCCCAAGCGTAAAAATATCAACTATGTATGAAACAAAGTATACCGAACTTTGATTCAGACTCAAACCCCTTTGCTCTACCAAGACTCAATCCGCTGAACGTCTCTAACTTTGCCACTTCTTGTCCAACAGCTCTCAACTTCAGACGTACTTATGCCTCGAACCTTATAGAAAGATTGCTGGTAGATCAACAACACTCCACAAGGTGATTTGAAAAGTGTGATTTGAAATTCTTCTTGTTTGAATCTGAATTTGATGTAGAAGAAATAAGATCTACTTTCTCTGATCGTTGTAGATGCAATCTTTAATAAACTTGAATATGATCAGGATTTGAACAACACCTTAAATTCACTCATGTGTATATAGTATGTATGTTCTTAAAAATCTTACAAAAAGGCTTGTAATGAAAATCAGAATTTTAATGCAAAAAGCCACACAAACCTAAATGAGAAAATATGTTTATATAAACTTTTAAAACCCTAGTTATACTTGGAAAATAAGTTAATTTCGTGCATGGGTTTTTGGAAGGAAGTCTATACAAAATAGGAAGTTAAAACATAGTAGAAGACCAGTTACCTAAAAACTGTTGAGAAACTTGAACCGATCGGCTAGTATGGTTTTTTAAAAACTGAAACTTTACTTCTTAAACCGGTTTAGCTGCCTTGAATAGGTTCAAGTTGGCCAGACCTGAACTGAAGGTTTAAACACTTAGAAAAATTTTGGCAACGTGCATTTTTTTAAAAACATACAATATATGTAAGTGTCCAAATCTTCTAACTTAACTTCCTAAGATGTTGTTCTTACCTCATCATAGTTATGAGACTCTTGATCACAAATAACTCTTCAGTTCCACTTCTGATCTTAAACTTGAATTGTAAAATCAAACTTACAACTCAATCAAACTTGTTTTGACAATAAAATTAACTAATTATAAAATATATATTTCACATTTCTTATTTAGACTAGATCAGAGAAATCGGTTAGAAGATTTAAGTGTAAAGTACACTAATACCCCCTGAGGTTTGTTAAAAGGACACACAGATGCAATTTATCCTATTTTGGGACAAAGACACCCCCTCAAGTTTGATACAACTACCAAAGACACCCCAATTATAATGAATTGACATTTTTGCCCTTTGACTTTTATATTGACTAATTTGAATGTTGAAATGACCTTTCTATCCTCTATTTATAGACTTCACATTTCTGTCTTCTCTCCGTTCTCTCTTCCTCCTCGCCACCCCCAACACCAACCGAGCCGGCACTAATTCCACCACACCACTTCTTTATCCTTCCATTTTTTCTTTTTCTTTCTTATATACACACATATGTATAATATATATATATATATGTATATACAGATACATACATATATATCCACATACACGCAAGGATAATTATATATATATATATATATATATATATATATATAGTTTGGAGCCCTTGCTCGATACTGCTAGTAGTATCAATATCCAACCGGTCGATTCCAGGCTTGTAGGATGTCTGTGACGTTATCAATGTAGTTGATTCCATTGTCTCTCAAGAAAAGTCAGTTTTCTTCTTGCCCCTTTGAACATTGCTTTACACGAGATGCTCAGATCTGTTCGTTGACCCATTGAACACAGCTTTGCCGTCGTTGAAATCTCTGGCCGTCATTGAAATCACCAATCTCCCGTTACAGGGATTCACAGAGGCCGAGTTCACCTGAACCGAGGCCGAGCTCCGGCGAGGTCGAGGAAGTGGCGGTGGCAGAGCTCCTTTTCGACGTCTTCTTTAGTGGGTGGTGATTACAGAGGTCGAGGGTGAAATGGATCAATTATAGATGCGAGTAAACGAGATTGATCAGCGGCACAGGGAGTGCCGGCTGTGAGCCCCCTATCAGACGTTTTACTGAATTTTGATTTATACGATTTCGATCGAGCATTTTTCAATTGCTTTACAAGTCTGAGATTGGTTCGATACCTAAATGAATTCTTGTGTTGTGCGCGAATCCCTTCCTCTACAACCCAAGGGATGTGAGACTTGGGGCCTGAAAAAGAGCTTTTTCCACAGACACAACTATAAAACAAGTAGCAGGAGGACAGGGGTTGGGTAGGCTGTTAAGTTTTTTCTCCACTAGTTTCTTAATGGAATGAAATATCCAACGCTCACCCTATTAGTGCACAATTGGAAAATAGATGCTATGCCCATTTGCGGTGACTATGAAGGTTGGAGGTGGTGAAAGAGAGAGAGATGAGAAGGGTAAGTTGGTCATTTAAGTATTTTGATATTTTATAATTAAAATTAATAAATAATGAAGGGTAAAGTGGACTTTTCACATGTTTTAAGGCTCTGTTTGGATGATGAATTTCACAAGGGGGTGTCATTGTCTAAAAATTGTCAAACTTTCCTCTACATGTCTTTACCTCATATCTCAGGAGGTGTGTGATACCCCTCGATTCTAGAGCCACAGGTGATCAAGTTCGAGCACAGATTCGAGGGATACCAAACAATTAATATATAAAACAAACACGGAATACAAAATGAATTTAATAAATAAAAGTTTAAAAGCTGAAAAGAATACTAAACATAATACTTGAAATTAAAATACTTGAAATCCACTTATCCAAAACCTTCTTAGAAAGAATCCTTCAATAATTTTACAACTCGGGAATCCACCTAGTGGACCCCTAATAATTCCAAACGATAAATAAATTTACAGAATTAAAAAAAACCGAAACTAAAATAAGAAAGAACATCCTATGTAGTCGGAAGAGTGAGTAACAGTCTCTGCTTAATACGATCAAGTCTACGACTGGAACTGTCGAACACCTGAAAAATAGAAGTGGGTCAGACCCACGAACAAGTTCTATCCTACTACAATCTAAACAGAGACTCGATATGCATGTACATCCTAGCCAATTTAACAATAACTAATAGTCCGTAGATATATATATATATATATATATATATATATATATATATATATATATATATATAATCATGCTACATGACTCTCACTGGACTACAGGCCTGTCTTAACCTGACTAGTAGGCATCATGCAAAACGCACCTGTGGTGGGCACGACTACCCAGACCTAGTAGGGTACACATCTAACCATCATAGCCAGCTATGCATCCCAATGCATATACGCTCTCTAGCCAATAACTATGAGACTCAGGCTCATAACATGGCACCATAAAAATATATTTAAATTCCATCAAAATCCATAGTAGTGCCGCTCAACTAGTTGTTGCCATGACACTACAAATCCATAGGATTTAACTTTTAGTTAATCCATTCCTTAATCCAGAGTAGGTAGGATTTAGCGTTTACGAGCTAATCCCCCTAATATAACACCGTCTCATACCGGTGCATACATTCATCCATCCATCTAGTGTTGATAATATAAATGACAGTAAACATTTCAATATCAACCCATCCATAACAAGTACAATACCATCCATAACAAGTACAATACCATCCATCCAATTGTTGATAATATAAATGACAATAAAATATATCAATATCAACATATCCAATCATAGGCATAACAAGAATCTATACTTAGCATGCTTGTTCAATACATCCAGTACTTGATTCTCTAACAACTTAAAATGCAGAGAACCAATAATACCATTCTGTACCCCATAATAAGCATAATAACAGTAGTAACAGAAGTAACATGCTTAGTATAATTACCTCACAACATCCCACAAGTTGATACAAACAATTCATTGTAAACATCAACTAGTTTTGCATTAAGCATTAACTGAATTTATGTTAGTTGATATGCTTAATCCCA